ATCAGCAATTCTTGGGCCCATTTACGCTTCAGCCTGTTTGACCCTTGTGATTCCATGCGTGCTTGTTGACCAGGGAGTATGGTGGATGCTCAAATCTGGCCTTTGGATCTTGGCCTGAAGCCACTTGGCACATTGAGATCTGAGGACATATGGTAGTCTACGCTTGGAATGCTGCGTATGAATACCTGAAGACAAAATTGAATAAAGTTTTGGGGGACCTGGGATTCGAACCCATGTCCTAATGCTCACATGCCAGCGCTCCAACCACTCAACCAAACTGCTTCATTCGTTATTAGAATAGGAAACAAATAATATATTCAAAACAATTAATTAAACCCTGCAAAAAAAACTAAAAACGCGCTATGATTCAAATGAACCAATGGACGTCAGCCACGTCTTCGTCTTCTTCAACGAAGACTGGTTCATTTACCTGCGGATTTTAGTCCGCAACTAAATCCATGGCATCATCCTATCAAGTGATACAGGCCATATAAATGCTTATGGAAACCATCATTGCAATCGTCTCTCTCCCCTGATCATTCCTATATCTATCATTAGCCTTAATTTTACCTACATAAAAACGCCTAAAAACAAGAACAAGAACCCTAGGTTCTGGATACGGGGTTAGAAGCCACAAAAATAAAATCAAATATTGCAGAATCAATGGAAATTGAATGGTAAGTATGAATGTACAAGAAAATTGGCAAGAGGATACGAGAAAATGATTTCACGATATCATGTCCAGAGCAATGTTCGTGGAGACTTACAGTGAGTTTTAGGCAATGAAAAGGCTTGGTTTTTGATTGCTTTAGCTCCACTGGATGTCAGGCAAGGGAGTAGCGTTGAGATCTTGGGTTGAATCGTGCTCTAACCAAGATTTTGATCTCACACTTTTGCAAGCTTTTTTCAATTCTTGTTTGGCCGTTTCTACAGAGCTTTGTGCGTGTCTTAGGTCTGTGTGGCTTGTGTGCATATAATGGAATGAATTTAGGTCAAAATATGGGCCATAATCCTTATGCATTGAAGATGGAATATTTGATATGATCACCATTGATAAGCTTTCCATAATTGCATCAAATCTGAGATTTTGTGCATGTTTTGACTTGGCACGAATTTGACTGAGTGCTATATGATATTTGCAAGCTGTAATGACCACAAGAATCCTCTTACATCAATTTTTAGATTTTATTTGATTTAATATTGATTAATAATGAATTAAATCAATAAAAATAAAATAAAATAGAAAAATAAATGAATGGCCATGAATTTAAAGATAGAACACATGTGTGGCATGACAAGACTATATCAAGTGGAAAAAAGTGGGCCCTTTTGTAAAAAAATGGAGTTTTGAGGATAATTGACTTTTGGCAAATTTGGAAAAATGCCCAACTTCAACAATGCATAACTTCCTCAATTTTGAACTTTTGGAGGTGTTCTTGGACTTTTTAGAAACCTTGAGATGTCCTATAATCAACACTTTTGGTCTCATCTCATTTTGATCTTCCATGCTTAAGTTATAAGCTTTGGCAAAAAAGGTGTTTTTGTTGACTTTCAAAAATGACCTATAATGTCCAAATTAGTAACTTTTTGTGAGAGCATTTCTTGATCTTGGGGTGTGAAGATGGATTGTAGGATATTGCATACTTTTAAAAATGAGCTTTGGATGGGTCATTTCTCATAAAGTATGAGAAAGTTATGCTTGGTCAAAGTTGAGTTGACTTTTCCTACAAAACCCTAATTTAGCAACTTTTGAATCTTGATGAATCTTGAGAAATCCTTGATGAATCATGATCAACCCTTGATCAAATGATGAATTATACTTAAAAATGAGAGTGTTGACAAAAAATATTGAGGTTTGACTGTATTTGGGACACAATTGACTTTTGCCCTAGCACAATCGGTTTTTGGGTCTCTTGAGCAATTGACTGACCAAACTTCCTCTGAAAGGCTTGAAATTTGACATGGATGGACTTAAGAACATATTAAGACATTGGGAATCACTTGAGGCCATTTGGATGTAAAGACCTTGATGCAACACAAAACCCTAATTTTGACTTGACTGCCTTAGGAGGTGATTTGACTGTCCAACTCTTGAGCCATCTTGAGCAACTTGAAGATTATTCTTGACATGTCTTGAGGAATATGGGAGGGCAAATTTTGGGGTACAACAATACAGCTGTCCAAAAGTGATGATGAGGATGATGTGGATCCAACACTTTACCGGAGTTTGATTGGGTCGTTACGGTACTTGTGCAATACTCGACCGGATTTGGCTTTTAGTGTCGGTATTGCGAGTAGATTCATGGAGAGACCTAAGGTGTCTCACTTGGCGGCGGTCAAGAGAATCCTTAGATATGTGAAAGGTACTCTTGGTTGTGGTATTTTGTTTCCCACATCGGATATGGGTCGCAAATGTACTTTATTTGGCTACACCGATTCTAATTGGTGCGGAGATAAAGATGATCGGAAATCTACGGCGGGTTACATCTTTATGTTCGGTAATACACCAATCTCATGGTGTTCGAAGAAGGAACCGGTTGTAGCACTCTCTTCTTGTGAGGCCGAGTACATTGCGGCATCATTGAGTGCTTGCCAAGCTATATGGTTAGTGAATCTTATGAAGGAATTGGGATGTGGTGATGATGATACCACCACACTGTTTGTGGATAATGTTTCCGCGATAAATCTTGCGAAGAATCCGATTGCACACGGAAGAAGCAAGCATATTGAGATGCGGTTTCATTACTTGAGAGAATTGGTTGGTGATGGAAAGCTTAGATTGAGCTATTGCCGAAGCGAGGACCAAGTTGCGGATTTGTTGACCAAGGGTGTGACAAATGAAGTGTTCAAGAGACTATTGAAGAGCTTGAGCATGATGAACTTGGAGCAACTAAAGTGAGGTGGTGTGTTGTGAGCTGTTAAAAATCTGTTACAGCTGTTAGTTTTTTGGAAAATAGCAGAATTTAACAGCATGACACTTTAGTTGGTTTTGGTTACTAGTTGTACTATTCTCTCGTGTGTATATATACATTGTTGTAATCCCAATTCAATGTTAATGCCACTTTTGATTCACCAATATTACTCTCTATCCTAATTCTCTCTCTCTCATTTCATCTTTATCAAGTTTCTTTTCACCACTGTTACTACCTTTAAAGCTCTGATTTTATGTTTTATGTTGTTTTAACAAGAAGGTTACACCAAAACTGATAGAACCAAGCACATCCCTCCAAAGTTCTTCTCATTCACACAAGAACTCGAAAGAAACAAAGAGATTGATATTCAATACATTCGTTCGAGTGATAATATGGCGGATCTCTTCACAAAGACACTTCTCATGTCAGTTTTAAAGAAACACTTACAAAATATTGAAATGCGACACCTTCGAGATCTTTGAAGAAGAACTAATGTGTCCTAGTGAGGGGAGCATAATATTGTACTCTTTTTCTCTTATTAAGGTTTTTATCCCAATGAATTTTTCATAATAAGGTTTTTAACGAGACAACAAATGTTTCCATAACTATCCTCAACAAGACTTCAACATAGTACTATAACAAATATTTTAAAAGGGGGTGTTATAATAATAAAAAATTATCATTATTACTATTTGAAATATATTGTGAATAATAAATATCTTCTATCTATGAAGATTTTCAAATATTGCACGGTTACATGCATTATTACATATAGTGAATAGTTGTAACTCATATAGTATAAATAGCCTACATTAGATTCATGTAAGAATACAACAATTCTCTCATACAAATAAATTACTTCACACTTTCTTCTACATCTCTATTTTTATAGTTTGGTTCAAATATTTTGGTTTTTCTTAACAAAATATTCTTTTTATTTCAATGTTTCTTTCAAAAGTTGTATGTACATGGACCATTGCTTTGTTTATGTGGATGTGAATAGAACTCAGTTCACCGGCAACTCTACTAGTATTAATGATTTTTCGGTGGCTAACTATGATATTAATGATTTAGTAATAAATAATTTCAATAAATTTTGAAAAATAATTGTACCTACGGTGAATTAAAAAAATAAAACAATTTTAGCATTAAAAGTTAAAATATTTAATAATAAAATTCAAACTGTGGAATTATTTCTTTCAAAGTAGATAAAAAAACTAGAAATTCATGCAACACAAATCAGCCAAAATTCAAAAGAAAAAACATGCTGTCATATATATGAATTATATTAAACTTTATTAATTGATTTATGTAAAAAATTTAAGAAATTTAATTAAAAATAGAAGATTTAAAACAATTTTTTTTTCAAAATGTAATAAAAAATGATAGTGACTCAATAAATATTTATATCCGAAAAATTATATTGGTGCTTTAAAAATTTTTATATATACAAAAATTTGGCACCTATTTATCATTTTCTTTAAAAACAATACATTTTATTGGTTAAATAATTGTTTTTTTATTTTATTTTAAAAACAAATGCGCGTGCAATATCAATATCCGTGCGAACGCACAAATATCCTACTAGTTTAATAATAAAGTTCAAACTGTGGAATTATTTCTTTCAAAGTAGATAAAAAAAACTAGAAATTCATGCAACACAAATAAGCCAAAATTCAAAAGAAAAAACATTATGTCATATATGATCCGGTTCTCATATTTTAATTGAAATATTAAACAAATTTAGAACATATGGATATGTGATTCAACAGTTAACCTATCTGTGATCTGTGACAGGAAAATGCAAGCATGTTATTCTTGTCATCATTTATGCCAATTAGAACTTAGAAGCATCTCATAGGCATGTTTGGTTTCACATCATAATAAACAATTCTATTTCTATTTAAGATTTTTGGTTTTGTCAACCATGACAGCATGGTGATGATGGTGCACATGAACATTTGTAGCACTATGTACCCACCCATGTGATATGACCTGGATCTACTTCACACACAAAAAAAATGAATATTTGGGTCCATTTATCTCCCAGTACTCTCCATATCTCTTTACATGTTTTTTCCGTCAAGAATGGAGAGATCATTTGTTTTCTGCTTAGTTTTCATATGTTTTTTGGTTCCTGCAACAGTTGCAGACTGGAACATATTAAAACAGAAGACACACAATGGAGTGAAGATCAGTTTGAAGAATTATTGTGAAAGTTGGAGAATCAACGTTGAGCTGCATAATATTCGAGACTTCCAAGTTGTGCCTGAAGAATGTACTGAATACATTGGTAAATATGTTAGATCTACTCAATACAGTGTGGACTCGGAAAGGACAACTGAAGAATGTTTGGTTTATCTTAGTACTAGCTGCAATCTGAAGAAAGATGGTCAAGATGCTTGGATTTTTGACATTGATGATACTCTTCTTTCTACAGTTCCTTTCTATAAGAATAATCTGTATGAATTATTCAGAATCCATCTTAGTCTACTAATCATTTTATGTTAATAACTGTTTACTGCTGATTTGATATTGCTCAATTTGATGAGGCTTTTATTGACAATAGGGGAAAGAAAATAAATGTGACGGCTTTGGAGGAGTGGATGAGCAAGGGTAAAGCCCCGGCTCTTGATTACTCATTGAGGCTCTTCAATGAGATTAAATCAAGAGGAATTCAGATCATTTTGATTTCTGGGAGAAGGGAGTATCTCAGATCAGCAACAATCGATAACCTTGTCAATGTTGGTTATTATGGGTGGACAAGTCTTATTTTGAGGTTAGTTAAACTTAACTCTTACTCTCTTTATCTATCTATCTAACTAATTCTTATCTTTCTTTTGATTCTAATAACCAAACTAAAATCCATTTCCTTCCATTGCAGAGATCCTGCTAATGAATTGGCGTCAGTGGCAGAATACAAGTCTCAAGTGAGAAAACATTTAACTAGTAATGGTTATCGCATTTGGGGAATCTTAGGTGACCAATTCAGTAGCTTTGAGGGGAACCCTAGCGGTATAAGACCATTCAAACTTCCAAATCCAATGTACTATATCGCCTAAGTTATCATCTACGGTAACAGTATTACTTCTATATATGTGAAATACTACATTGAGGGACAAATGCTTGTACTTGTTAGATGTTTTAAGAAAATATTGTTGGTTGTGATTGAATAAGTGGTGCCTGGAGAATAAGCACTGTATGAAAATGAATGAATCTCTTATTTGCAAATTGATTTTCTTCTTCGACCACCATGCCTAGATTTTGATATTCTTCAAACACGGCCTCATATACTCTAGAACAAGTTTATCTTTGAACAAATCCTCTTAAACTAGAGACTCAATATTCACTCAAGAAGAAAAGACCCTTAATAATACCTTATCACTAAGCTGACGACAAAATAAAATGCTATCTGCCTAAGAACTCTCAAGAAAGTGCTTATGCTAAGCTAAGCATCCGCCAATTTCAGTGTCTTCTTCTTTCTAGTTACTACATTAGCTTTTCATTATAAGTGCCAAGTCCAAGGGTGTACAATGAACTATATACCGGATCTTAGTTGTTAAAAACGTAAACCGGTGAGAGCAGACTCGTGTGTTTACATTGATTTTGATAAAACTTACATGTATTGGAGGTAAAGTTTCCAAATTTCGCACACCAACAAGGCATGATGATTCAGTAAACAAAAGAAGCATTTAGAACACAAGTCAGTGAATAAAATGAATTAGAAACTAGTTAAGTAAAACCCTATTTGCATTTCAAGAGTTTATAATAAATTTGCATTCACGATTCACGAGTTGGCGTAAGCCTAATGAGCCGAAACATTAACCAACATAACAAAACCGAAAACACAAGTACACATTCCATCGCCTAAATGCAACAAACAAACTTCTAAGAAGATTGAGACGACAGTTTAAGGCACTCACTCTGACATCTCCTAAGACATATGTCATTCCAACTCGGCACTTGATGTTGGTTAACACAAACAGTACGAGCACAAGCATCAGCACAGGCATCAAGATCAGACACACCACAGACAGTAACACAAGTATCAGGAATGGGATCTTTTGAGAAAGAACCAACCTTTTTCAACATCCTCTTTGAAGTGCAGACTCTTTCGCAGACGAAAATTTCATCGGAACTCCTCTCTCTTCCTCTTGCACTTGTCAATCTCTCCTCTTCCGCATTCTTTTTCTTCACTCTAAATGCTTGTCCTGCAAGAACCACAGGGACTGCTGCCCCCAAAAGTGACCACCAAATTTCACCCATCTAACTAATAAAATCTACAAAAGTTCAACCGCTCTTGTAACTCACACGCTGCTGCAGACAGTGTAAACAAACAACATAAGTTCATGTAATGTAATTGAAAAGTAAGAATTACGAGAAATTTAGAATATAATACACGAAAAACTTAGAATTTCACGAATGAAAAAATTAGAAATTTTGATTCAATGATGAAGTGATAGAATGGTGAGAAAGGGAGTTAAGAAGAAAGAATAAGGGATGAGTAATACTAACCAGCGGGTAGGAGGACAGTGACGGAGAAAGACAAACGGTATCATCGATGTGTTTTAAGTTGTATTCGAATGTACCTTATTGTTTTTTTTTTTTTAATTTTAAATAATTTATAAATATATATTAAAATATAAATGTAGTTTTTCAAACTCTTCTCATCCAAAATCCTTTAAAAAAAACTTCGAAATTGAATTCACAATTGGTATTGTCACTCACACATTCACACACTTATAATACAGTTCGATCGTGATTAAATGTTTCAAAGAAAACATATTTTGTTTTTTATTTTATAATATAAGATATTAACTTTTAATTTAAACCGTATGACTATAATCTAACCTTTTTTTATTGTTCGAATGCGTAAATGTGTAGAATTGCGATTGAGGGAAATCATCATCCTAAAATTTCATTAAATACTATTCATTATTCGATCATTAAATATCATGTCATTTTTCTATAAAATTTATTTTGAAATAAATTTTGTTAAAATAACACCAAATTAAAACTCATGAATATTTTACTTATAAATAAAAAATGTTTTTTATTTTCTAAGATTAAAAATTAAAATTAAATACTCTAAATTTTAACTCAATGGCACTTAATATTAATTAGGATTATTTTTTTAATACCAAAAGATGATATATTAAAAAACACTCGTAGTTGTTTTATCATAGTTGAATTATAGCTAATCAACACAGTATTTTCAAATATTTAATACAACTCTGATATCCACTATTATGTCTAGCGTGGATTGAGTTCAATTTCTACACCGCAGTCATATGAAAATAGATGAGAGAAAGTGGGTAGAATCCCAATAGAAATTAAAAAAAAGTGTACAAAAGACAACTGTAAGAGTTAAATTGTTGGAAATTTGAATGACATTCTTGTTATCAAAATAGACGGAGTTTATTTAAAAATAGGATAAATCATATCATAAAGTAATTAACGTAATTAAATTATTTTAATAGTGGTAGATGTCATAGCAAAATACTTAACTTATATGGAAGAGCAAGAGACACTATCTTATTTTGTACTCTTCCAAAAAATGAGAGAATCACCAAAAAATATATAATGTGGTAGACTTACATTTGATAGATTCGTCAACCCAATCAACATTTGAGTAAGCGTGTAAGTCAAAGGAGAATATAATGTACAACTTTCTAATAAAATGATAAATTGACTAACGACATGTCGTGCATAATAAATATCAAGTCTAGTAATAGTAAGATACACCAAATTTCCAAGTAAAACATGATATAAAGTAAGGTCTGGCAGAGGCATCCTATCACAGAAAACATACTTCACATTTAACTCTGAAGGACTATTTATTGCCCGAGTATCAAAGAGGTGGATTTGCTCAAGAATGTTTGCAATGTACATAGATTAAGAGAGAAGATAACCTCTAATAGAATAGGAAACTTCAATTTCCAAGAAGTATCGAAGATTTGTCAAATCCTTCATCTCAAATCTTTTTAGCTAATTATAATTTCAAATCATCAATCTCATTAATATCATCACATGCAACAATCATATAAAACATATAAAGAGAATAGAATATGACCATAAGAGGTAGTCTTGACAAATAAAACATAATTATGATCATTAATGCATAATCCAAGAGATATAACTGCAGTAGCAAACTTCTGAAATGAAGCTTGTGGAGCTTGTTTTAGATTATATAGAGATTTATTCAACTTATATATTTTTCTTTGATTACAAGAAACACTTGATAGAGGTATCATATAAACTCCTTTCAAAAGACCACAAGTTAAAAAAATATTTTTAACATCTATTTAAAAAAATTCATTAACGAACAAATGTCGTAGTAATAAGAGTATAAATTGTAATCATCTGAACAAATGTCGTAATAATAAGAGTACAAATTGTAATCATATTGATTAGAGGAGAAATTTTTTCTTCATAATCTATACTATTATGAAAAATCGACATAATAATTCAATACTTCAGAAAAACTATTTAAAGGTTACATACACAAAAGAATTAATGGGGACAAAGAACAATGATAAACAAAATAAACCGCATAAAGCAACATAATAAATTGATAGTGTGAAAATGTATCATATTTTTATACTTGTTTCACATGTTATTTGATGTCATTATGTTTTATCGTTTTTTATATCTTTATCTATTTGTATTTCAGATATAAATCAATTATGGAGAAACTGTGCAACGAAACCAGAAAAGGAACAAGAAAGGAATAAAAATGCAACAAAAACCAAGTTTCTGGTGCATGACGTTCGCCATGGCTTGGTGGCGGTCGCCATGATGTCGCAGTTTAGAAAAGTAACCGCCCACTAACAACACCACTTTGGAGGTTTCTCCCACTATTTCCACTTTCTCTAACTTCCCACTATTTCCACTTTCTCCAACTTCCCATTATCTCCACTAATTCTCACATGAATCTTTAAGTAACTTCCACTAGTCTTCACTATATAAAGGACCTAACATTCATTTTTCAAGGAATCCAATTTTATGCGTGGAAGCGTTGTTCGTAGTTTTAGGAAGAAATCATATTTGTAAAAGTGGTAGTTTCTCACATCGAGGAACTACCACACTATTAGTGTTAGGCCTAAAATCTGTGTATTCTTGGATCATTAAACTTTCCGCCATAATTGAAGTTAATTTCAATTTCTTTTATTTAAGCTTTTTGTAGGTTTTCTTTTGTCGCTTTATTATTATCATCATTATTAATTTAATTTCCATGATGTTCGATAATTGCAATTGATATGTTTAATTCATTTTCAATCAATAGTATGTCTAGCTTAATCATTTTAAGTCTGATATGTGAGGCCGTCGTTTTCGGTGGGACTCAGTAACAATGTTGGCTTAATATTTAATTTGAAAATTCTATTTTGGTTCTTGTTTTTAAACTTAATTTAAATAGCTTTGTCACAAGAGTGAGACATTACTTAACATGATTTTATCATGAGAGTGATAAATTAACTAAAGTTCAAACCGGCACTACAAGAGTGTGGGGGTTGAATTGGATAATAGAAACGGGACATCAATCATAAAGAGGGCGAGAGCACTTTGAGTATCATTTAGGACTTGCTCAATTTTCAAAACACATTCCTTAATTAAAATGGGCGAGCGAGAGCAAAATCTCATGGTTAAGGAATGTGGATTTATTCAATAGCATGAGAGTGTTAGGTTTAGTCTTTAAATTAATATTTTCTACTAAACACATTTTTAACATCAGTATAAGTCAATGAGTCACAGAGTCTCCGAGGTATGCAGAATCCACATTCCGTCCTCTCTTTTCTTTTATATTTCCTTAATATTATTTTAGTCTTTATTCTAGTCTTAGTTTACCCTTAATCAATTATTCATTAGCCTTATCTTTACCAAGTGACAATAGATTACAGTAGGTTGACATTGGTCTCCGTGGGTTCGACAATCTTTTATATTACTTCGATATTTTCGTACACTTGCAGACACATCAAGTTTTTAGCGTTATTGTCGGGGACCAACAGTTAATGTTGTTATTCCGTTGTTGCACCGTATAGACTATGACACTCTTACCTAAATCACTATGTATCACCCAATTTTTTTCTACAACTCTCACTCTCAGTATTTCGAGGAATCACAAGATTCCCATAAATCCGACCTCGAAATACTAATGAAGAATTTCAATGTGTCACTAACTCATTCTCACCCAAATTACCTCTGCAACTACCAATCCCAACATTTTAAAGAGTCGCATGAATCCCATAAATCTGACCTCGAAACATTAATGGAGGATTTCAATACAACACTAATGGAGACTTGTGAAAGAAGATTTGAACAATTTATATTCGTTCTATTTCTCGAAATTTTTGGATTATAGCAAGGCAAAAGACTTCTTCGAGCTTTTTGGGTGCATTGGGGAGGTGGTGAAAGTGTCTATTTCACCAAGAAGAAATAAGTTAGGGAATATGTTCAGTTTCTCTAGGTTCAAAGGGGTAGAAGACGCAAAGCTGTTGGCAGTGAGGCTGGATAATGTTATGATAAGGGGAAAGAAGATACACACTAATTTTCCCAGATTCGAGAGGTTCACTTCACGGAGAGTCGGATATTCCAGGAGAGAGGAGAAGGCGACGACTTATCAACAAGCTTTCCCTTGTCTAAATAGAGAGGGGAACAATGTTAGGAGGGATTTTAGAACATTTGCAGATGTAGTTCTAACAGGGAGAATAAGGTGTCAACCAGCGACAAAGTGTGGTTGAATTTTTCAACGAAGATGGAAGATAAAGCTAGATTTCAGAAAGCGTTTGTTGGCAAGGTTACTATTCTGGGTTCTGCATATAAGGTACAAACATATCTCGAGATAGAGGGCTATTTCGGGGTCAAGGTTACACATTTGGGAGCGAATTTGTGTTTTCTCGAGGAATCAGAGGAATGGGTTATTGAAGATTTGATAGGGGAGGGAGAAACTTGGTGGAAACAATGGTTTTCGGAGGTTAGGAGGTGGAACGAGGAGGATGTGAATAATGGAAGACTTGCTTGAATCAGGGTATATGGTGTACCTGATCATGCATGGAATTTTGATTTCTTCTTGGAGCTGGCAAATTCGATGGGTTCTTTTGTTTGTCTTCACGAAAACACCTCTAAGGGAACTAATTTAGATATAGATAGATTCATGGTGAGGGTGACTTTGTCGTTCATCTTATCAGAAACTATGCATGTGATTATTGATGGCAAGGAGTTCTTGTTGACGCTTAGAGAAGATGCTTATGGTCCCCTTCAAAGTACAACAGGTAACTCAAATTACTATTCCATTTTCCTTTGATTTAAGGAAGGTTGATCTTGCTATTATTTCTAAGGGGAGGGTGAATAAGGGAAGGAGGAAGAAGAAGACAGTATCGAGTATTTTTTCTGTACCTCAGGTGGAAGTGGCAGAGGGTTCTATAACCAACTGCGGTAAAAAAATTGATGACGGAGACATATGAATTAGGGTGGAGGTGGAAGATATTCCAGGTGAAGGAAATGGGCTAGTTGAAATAATTTCGACTGGTTATTTTGATAATGCTTTAAAAATGGTAAAGGGTAGAAAGAAAAATGAGTCGTTTAATGCGGAGTCTGGCTCTCAGATTTCAGTAACTTCAGAGGCGAATCTTTCAGTAGTAAAATGTACGGTGGATGGGTCGCCAAAGTGAAAAAGGTCTAAGAAAATGAAATTCAAGAATATGGTGCATATGAGGGGTGCTCTTTATAAGAAATATTTTAAACATACCAAGAGGATTAAAAGAAAGGCGAAGGTTGCTACAATGCCAAGAGGTACCTCGAAAACTCAGTCAGCTCCAGATGGTGATGTTGGTTCATGATTTTAAAAATGTTGCCACTGAAGAAATTACCGGGTTGAGTCGCGGATCAGTTCGCTCTCTTTAAGACGTTTCGCGGTACTGCCCAAAATTATGCAAAGCAGTCGAACTACCACGCCGCCTCCAGGATAAAACAGCCCAGTTCTATACTGTACGATTACTACTTGCATGATAGATAATCGGTCTAGAAATACACCCTCTAATGGTACTAAGACCATTCAAATATGGTATAAATACCACCGTAGTATCTGATATATTTACCAGTCATAAATATTTCTCAAACCAAGAGAAATTTCAATAATTCTTCAAAGAGAATTCAATAATGATCATTTTTGATCACTCAAAGATTTCTCAAACAAAGAGAAATTCGAATAATTCTCTAAAGAGAATAAAAAAATTATACTTGAAAATTTCTCAACTCAAACGAGGAGAAATTAACATTATTCTCTATAAAGAGAATTCAAGAAAATACTCGGAAAATTCAACGAGTAGAAAGAAAGGGGAAGAAGTTGGCGCTTCGACAATTCGAAAGACGCAGAGTTATGAGAGTGAGGAAGGAAAAACTAATAAAATGTTTTTGGTGTATTTTGTAAGGAAACAAGTGACTTCCTTATATAATAAAGTGAGATGGTTAATATTTCTCACATGAGCAATGTGGGACTAAATGAATTTTTTTTTTAATTCAATATGGAACATGGACATGTTCCAACAATCCCCCACTTGAATTTAAAAAGGTGAATTTGGAAGTAACGTCAAACGTTTCTAAGATTGTGCATAAACAAAGGTGTCTACGACTTGAACCTTTGCATAGCAAGTAAGATTCCGATTCAACAAGAGTGACACAAATGTCTTGAACTCTATCTCAGACATCAAACCCACACACAACCTTTTCTTAAGGTGTATTCTAATAGCCCGTACTTTAATGGCCCTGCACGTGTATCCCGGTTTAGTGAATGCTCTAGGAATCCTGCCTCGAAATTCCATAGGAACCGGCCTAAGTTCCACAATCACATAGGTGAGTCTATCAAGAGTACTCCTGTAGCCTAGGTACTCCCTCATACAGAGTATAGATTTCATTAAGAGTTTCTATTATCTCATCCTCTAATTACTTCAGGATTCATGCTTTACTTGCATGATAATCTCATATTACTCATAACTTGTTATTACCCATTGAACCTATTTCTTGGGATCTCCAGTCATTTAGGTCGGGTTACCATCGTGAGAAACTCATTTCTATATAGGCATTAGTCTCATGATATATTATAGACTTTCTCTCTAGCTAATCCTTTCGTCAAAGGATATGCTAAATTTTCATCGGTGTGTACATGATCCACTCTTACAACTCCTTTAGAGATATAGTCTCTAACAATGTTGTTCTTTCTTCTAATTTGACGTCTTTTACCATTATAATAATGGTTCTCAGTTTTTGCAATATCCGCGGTACTATCGCAGTGGATCAACACAACTGGCATGGATTTTTCCCATAAGGAAATCTTAGTTAGCAGGCATATTTTAACTAACTTTCTTCTTCACTAGCAATCGCTAACGTTATCATATCAGACTCCATTATGGAATGAGCCATGATACTTCGTTTCCTTGATTTCTAAGATACAACTCCTTTAGCTATGGAATACATAGCCACTAGTTGCTTTGGAATCATCTAATAATATGTTCCAATCTGCATCACTGTACCCTTCAAGTACAGCCAGAAATTTCTGATAATGTAAACTGAGATATATGGTCCTTTTAAGGTACCTCATGACTCGCTTAATAGCTTGTCAATGCTCGTAACTCGGTTTACTCGTAAACCTGCACAATAATCCCACTGCATATGCAATGTCGGATCTAGTATAATCAGTGACATACCTAAGATTGCCAATGATGCTCGCATATTTTATTTGTCTAACACTTTCACCAGTGTTCTTAAACAGTTTCACACTTGGATCATAAGGTGTGCACCCAAGTTTACAGTCGAAGTAATTATACTTCTTTAAGATCTTTTCCACATAGTGTGATTGATCCAAGGAGATGCCTTGTTCTGATCTCGTGATCTTGATACCAAGGATCACACTTGCTTCACCGAGATCTTTCATATCAAAGTTGTTGCACAACAATGATTTCACTTCATTGATGGTCTGAATGTTTGACCCAAATATGAATAGGTCGTCTACATAGAGACATATGATAGTGCAAATGTGATTCTCATATTTGTAATAAACACATTTGTCACTTTCATTATCTTATACCCATTTGATATCATTAAGTTGTCAAACTTTTCATGTCATTGCTTCCGAGCTTGCTTCAGCTCATACAAAGACTTGTCTAACTTACAGACCTTGTTTTCTGGTCCATGGATCACAAAGCCTTCCGGTTGTTCCATATAGATTTCTTCTTCTAATTCACCATTGAAAAAAGTTGTCTTAACATCCATTTGGTGTACTATTAAACTATAAATAGCAGCTATTGAGATAAGTACCCTAATGGATGTCATTCTGGTGACCGGAGAAAAAGTGTCGAAGAAATCTATATTCTCTCTTTGTCTAAAACCCTTGGCTACAAGGCGAGCCTTGTATTTATCAACAGTTCCATCAGGTTTTAGTTTCTTTTTCAAAACTCATTTACAACCGATTGGTTTGCATCCAGGAGGCAAGTCTACTGAGTGACAGATCTTGTTAGATTCTAGAGAATCTATCTCATCATTAATAGCTTCTTGCCAGATATCTGCATCCAGAGATGACAAGGCTTCTTGAAGATTCATTGGATCTTCCTCTACATTATAGGTCGCATAATTCTTCCCATAGTCTTTAGAAACTCTTACTCTTTTACTTCTTCGAAGTTCTGTTTCTACATCGTCGTTGCTTTTTGTGCTTCTTATCACATGAATGTGACTCGATTGAGTGCCCCCACTATTTCTCGATTTGAAAGGAACTTTTTTTTCTTCATAGAATTCAACATCATTTGATTCTATGATCACTTTTGCATTTAGGTCATAGAACCTATATGCCTCACTGTTTGCTTCACACCTAATGAACACACATTCATAGGCTCTATTAGCAAGTTTAACTCGCTTCGTATCCTGAATTCTGACATATGCCAGACAAACCCAAGTTCTTAAATAAGACAATTTTGGTTGTCTTTTCTTTAATATCTCATAAGGAGAGATATTACTTTTTAACTTGGGAACTCGATTCAGGACATAGCAAATAGTCAACAAAATTTCCCCCACCAGTGAGAAGCAACACCAAAATTTAATATAATTGCAACAACAAGTTCAATAAGAGTTATATTCTTTCTTTCTGCTTTACCATTCATTTCAAAAGAGTATGGTGCAGTCATTTCATGTACAATTCCATGTATAAAATTCATCAAATAAACTAGAATCATATTCAGTTCTCCTATCACTACGAAGTCTCTTAAACTTCTTACTAAGTTGATTCTCAGTTTCAGTTACATACATCTTAAACATGTGAAGTGCTTCATTTTTATTCTTCATTAAATATACATAAGTATAATCAGAATAATAGTCAATAAAATAACATTTACTATTTCTAGTTAAAGTTCCATGTAATTCACATATACCATAGTGTATAAGGTCTAGGGGATCAGATCCTTTAATAATTGATTTTTAAATTCTTTACAAAGTTTTTAAACATATCAATTTCATTCACAAAAATGTCATTCTTTGTAATGGTGTACAAATCTACCCCAATGGACTGACTAAACTATGCCTTATATAAAAGAAAACCAGAAACAAAATTCTTCCTAATCTCAAGAACATGTATGACGTCCTTCGAGATTAAAGTCTTTCTGGAGGTGAAATTCAACTCCATTTCTCCAATTCTAGCAACATTAGTGGTGTGGACATATCCCAACAACACTTTCTTATCTTTAGTATTCGTGTATGTTTTAAACATAACACGATCATAACAGACACGATGAGAAACACCAGTGTCTATCCACCAATCATCAAATTCATCAACCGTGTTGATTTCAATTATCATAGAAATAAATTTCCCATTAGTCAGTTTGACCTATGCATTAGGGGTAGCACCAGGTTCAAGCCTCTTCTACATTTCTTAATCTTATGACATGATTTTCCATGGTTAAAACAATGGAAAACAACATCATTTCTTTGAGGTGGTGATTGTTGCCTAGTTGGAGCAATTGAGACCATAGAAAGGATCTC